CACAAAGCGCGGCGTCAGGATACGATCCAACTCCCCTTTTCTCGCAAGCTCCTTCCGAACACCAAGGCTTTCTTGCACTGACAGTACCTTGATGGCATCGTTGTCCACATAGGCTGCCCAGCCCTTCGCTGCTGCCTTTTTTGTAGTCCTCCTTCTGCTTGGCCGACATAGAGTCCCACTGCAGCTCTTTGCGGCCACCGGTGGTGTTCACCTCGTGGTGGTCCAGTTGGCAAAGCAGCCCCCATCTCCTGCAACAGCGCATGCTGACTTGAAGAAGGAAGTGACCGCCGTCCGTCCCACGAGCCATGATCCTCGGACTTCTCTGAAAAGCGACACTGCTGGCGATCACACTCAACCAAGGCTTGAACTTGCAAGAGCGGATGTATTGCTGAGGAACCCAACGCCAGTCGCTCAAGTTGCTCTCGGTCCAAGGTCAGCGCTTCGAAGGCTGGGTACGTCACCCGGGACCAATCCTGCACCACCACGGGAGCTGAACTTACTGCTAACGAAGACCCACCTGTGACAGCCGGCATAGAAACGTCAGAGACACCAGCTGGATGCCCACCGGATTCTGAAGAAAGTCACCGGGGAACAGCTGCTGCACTAGGATTTGAAGCTGGATGCCCACCGGATTCTGAAGAAAGGCGACGGGGAACATCTGCACTAGGAACTGAAGCTGGATGCCCATCGGATTCTGCAGAAAGTCGATGGGGCAAATCATCTTGACTTGCCGCTCCGCTGGTCCTCCTCGAAGACACTGGGGGCTCCAAAGCACTTGCTGAAGAAGGGGACCTCACTCTCTGAAGTTTGCCACTTGCGCCCGCGCTCCATCTGCAACCTAAGCTCGGCTGCGAAGTCGGCCGGCTGACCCCGAGCCAGCTGACTCAGATCAACTGACAGAGGTTGTCCTTGAGCTCGTTGTAGAGAACGTTGAAGCACCGGTCGTTGCAACAGGTGCGTTACAGGTCGACAACCTGCGGCGCATGGTGCGGTGCTGGAGAATTTCTCCAGCCGTTTGGCCGAGCGCGGCTTGCATGCTTGCATGCAACGGGGTTGCACTTCGAGAATCTGCCAGAGTTGCCATGGTGAGGTTACACTTCTCTCGTGCAATCAGGAAAGCAGAGTTGGCCCGCAGCCGGGAGCCAACGATTCGCTCCTTGCCGCAACCTGGAGATACCGTCTACTTCTGGCGGGCTCAGCGCGTGACCAAACGCGGCGACCCGCGACTTTCTACTTCGAACCGCCACCGTCGACTAAACTCCGTCGGCGGCATGGCCCGGCGATTGTGATTGCTGTTGAGCAGGGCGGTGGTCAACGCCCTCCAGGAGAGCTTCGTTGTGGAAATTCCACTCCTTTGTGTGGACGGGGCGGGCATCAACACTTCAGTCCCTGCCGGCACATCGACAACGACCTCTTCCCTTGGATGTACGCTTCTACTTTGCATGTGTCGCGTGACCGCCGACGGCAACAACTATAATCTGTGCTGTGTTTGGTGCGTTTTGCTATCCGCCTCGCTCGCCTACAGTTTGGGGTTTGGGGGGGCCAACTTCTCCACTTTGGCGTCTTCCTGGTGTTCGAGCACTTTTGGCCGACCCTCGCTGTAGGAGCTTGGCCGTCGAGCTGGGCAAGTTCGGCTCAACGACCCGGTGCTACTCGCAAGCCGTTGCCCCCGACCCGCCTCGTGACTTCGAGCCAGGCAGTGGTTTCAAGTTGTCTGGGTTTCGGGGCCGAGCAAGGACCGAGCCGAACCGAACAACAGGACATACCCCAAGGCCTTCGCGGACAAGCTGATGAAAGCCTTTGAGCAGGAGTTCGATTACGAGACGGCCCGCCTCCGCGACGACGGCAAGGCCCACGAGTGAGATTGTGGGTTCCCACGGCGGCACTTCGTGCGCGAGGCCCTGGCAGGTGAGGACCTGCCGAACTTAGCGATTCGGACGAGGAGCTTGGCGAGACCTTCTCCGGCGAGGTCCCCGCCTCAATTCGGGCCGCAGTGAAACGAGTCGCCACGGGCCACCGACCTCCGAAAAGATTGGCCAGGGCTCTTCTTCTTAGTGGTGCTCCACCTTCGGCTGTTCAGGCTGCTCGGGAGCTTCGCTGTGATGTTTGCCTGGAGAGAAGCCGACCAAAGAGTCAACGAGCAGCCAGCCTACCGGCTCCAAGGGCGGTGGGTGAGCGTGCCCACGTCGACCTCCTTTTCGTCGACGACTCCTTGGGGAAGACCTACACGGTGGGGCACATCACGGATGCGGTCTCTCGCTTCGGCCCACTCGGTGCATTTGCGGCATTGCGCCGTACAGGCGCCGTGGCAAAACGGCATTGCCGAAAGGTCCGGGGGGACGCTAAAAGTTTTGGAAATAAGCAGTTGATCTCGCCGGCGTCGGTTACAGGCCTGCTGCATCATCAAACGCTGTCCGGCCTTCAAAGGGCCCGGTCTGACTCCAGGCACCCGAGCTGCTCCAGTCGAGGGTCTTGGGGTTGATTTCCCACTTGGCTCGGGTCGGCGGTCAGTTCGCACTCGTCGGTGCCCTTCATCTCCTCATCGGGCCCCGTCAGCGGCGTAGCGGCCACCGACTGCATCTGCATGATGTGGTGCAACACTTGTGTGAGCATTGCCTCGTGCCTCTGCCCAAGTTCTTGGAATCTCTCTGGTCCACCGCCTGCATGAGCCCTGCCTGGAGGCTCTCCGGACTCAGCGTGGAGGCATTCGAAGCAGTCGCCATGTGCCCTTGCCCTGGTCCAGGCGACATAGTCCCGAACGAGGTTGCCAGCGAAGGCCGCCCCGGAGTGTCTTGATTGTGTCTTTCTCGGAGACCTCCACATGGAGCAGCGCCGCCAATTTTATCAAGTCCCCCTTCAAGGTTGGTAGGCCTGGCCCCAGCAAGGACCTGGCCGCTTTTAACAGGTCGCCCTCCTTCGTTGCTGTTTCGGCTTCTTCCTTCAGGGCGGCCGTCTTCAACTGCTGGGTTCGGCCTGGCAGTCGGCGAGCGGCCAGCATTCCAGTGAGCACGGGGCCCTCGTTCAGCCCGACGCGGTTCCTGAACCAGGTCATCCATGAAAGGTGGGCCTGCGAATCAACGCCCCGGCCCACCCAACGTAGAGGGTAACATCCACTCTGTACCATGCTCTGCACCTGCAGCTGCCATTGTGCCGCCGAAGACACAGAGGGATATGGAAAAGGCAACCGGCGCAGCTCTGGATGCTTGACGTACCAAAGTCTGACTCCTTCTCGGCTCCAGTCGAAGCGGGCCGGCGCTCTCAGCAGCATTCTTCTCCAGCGCGCTGACTCGAAGGTCGGGATCCGCAGGCGAAGGGCCGGCCGCAGCCAGGATCGGAGCCGCGCAAGGCCATGTTCAAAGGCGCCAGGCGACGGGGAGTCGGGAGGTCTAGGCGAAGTTGCCCGGCACAAGCAAGGAACACAGCATGAAATGCCAACCGTCCAATCTCCAAGCTTGCTTCGGTCATGTTGTGGTTGCGCGGTTCATCGTCTGAGGGTGCAGCAGGGGGCAAACGAAGCAACTGAGCTGCCCAATCCGAGCACGTGATGCTGCACTCTAGCACGCCACCTGGACCCAGTTTTCTCCAACGGCCTTTGGTCACGGCCGGTCAGATATCCGGAATCAAGGTCAGGGCCAGGTGCCCAGCCGAAAGCCGCTCCAGCGGCACAGGTGGCCTGCCAGCAAAGAGCTTGCAAAGTAAAGTTTTCTGGCCGAAGTCCAAAACGCCGCCCAGACCATCAAGAAGGTCTCTTCCAAGAAGTAGCCCCAAAGAGCTCACCGGCACAAAATGCCGACGAGCTGACCTGCAACGACGGCCGGCAAACGGTATCGAGTAGAGCTCGGGAGCGTGCCACCGTTGCCGAACTTGAAGTTCTCCTGCTCGGTCACCGTGGCAACGAGGTCACGGATCTGCTGGGGTGCCCGCTCCAGCTCTTTCAAGAGCCCTGCACCCAGTCCTCACCGGCACAGGTTCGGACAAGTCTGAAGACAAAGTCGCCGCAGCCAGAGCTTCAGGGCCACGAGGATGCGCCGAGGAGTGGCGCAGGGCCGCCGGGCCGCCTCCACCGACATTATAGTCCCCCCCCGACCAGTGCCCAGACTGGCCGCAGTCAAAGCAAACATGCTTTCCGGAGGCCTTCTTCGCTGATGCTGGCCTTGGCCTTGTCCTTCGCGGTGCCGCCGGAGTGGTTGGAGGAGCCAGGGCCCTTGTAGCCGCGATCGCGCCGCACCTCTGCCAACTCAATCCTGGCCTCCCGCGTCGACACCAAGGCCTCAGCCGAGGCCTCAATCTCGGTCTCCACCTCGCAGAAGAGTCCACGCCCTCCTCCTCCCACGCCCTCCTCCTCAGCCTGAGCAGTCATCCTCGGCCACAGCATCCTCGCCCTCGGGGTCGGCCGCCTCTGCTTCCCAAGCCTCTGGCTCGCTCTGCTCGGCCACGTGGGCTTGTCGAGGAAAAGGCCTCCGACCACCACCAGCCAAGGAACCTGCCGTTGAGGTAAAGGAGGATCGCCGCGAGGGTGCCGAGGAGGGAGCCGTCGATGAAGAGGAGGCCGCCGAAGTGGGCGAGGCGCACTGCCGCAAAACATTCGGCGGATCGTCAGCTTCGTGCCGGCCTGCCGCTCGGCACGCCGATATAACGGGTCCTGACTATGAAGATCTCGGAAAAGCCTCAGGCACTCGGCTTCGATAACATTGTAGTCTTCAGACCCTTGCAAAGCAGCTTCTAACAATTGGCGCCGCAAAGCATCCAACCCAAGCTTCTCCTTGAAAAACAATCCAACTTCGGAGTCGGGGATTTTCACCCCTTCTGCCCGCAAGTCCGACACAGCTGTCCTAAACCTTGAAGCGTAGTCGGCCACCCGCTCCAGGGGTCGCCGTGCTAGGTGCAAGTAGAAGGCGGTACGAAGTTCTCCGTGGCGGTCCAGGACCGATTGGCCGCTCAGGGCCTCAAGCGCTTTAAGAAGCTTGTTCAGTTCAAACCTGTCAAGGGGTCTTCAGGCGTCAGGGCAAACTCTTCTCCTGACTCCGGATCGCGAGCTCGCATTTCTTTTTGATATTCAAGTTCTTCAGGAAGAAATTCCTCTCCCCTCTGACGGACGGTGCCCGTCTGACGGAGGAGGAATCTGGCCGCCAGGTTGTACTTCTTGGTGCCCTCCAGGTCCAAGGAAGAGACCACCAGGCCATCTCGCGCCTAAAGGCGCTCCAGGTCAAAGGGGAGCCGTCCCATACGGGACAACGGCTCCAGGCATCACTGTTCTCTTCCTTCTCAGCCATCTCGGCAAACGCTGAATTCAGCCTGCAAAGTCGCAGGCTCCTTGCACGTGAAACCAGCTGGCAGATCCCAAACACAAAGTTCGGCCCCCCTCGCCCAGGCTGGGCTTCCAGCAGACGAAGAAGAACTCCACGTTCGGTGTCGTAGGGGCCGGCCAGCAAAAGCGAAGACACGGAGAGCAGCGCAGTGCGGAAGCGGATCCCAAACTCAAGCTCCGGTGCCACTATGGAAGGCTACCCAGTCAGACCAGCACAGGTCTACGCGCAGCAAGCCAATCCTTTTCCATGCGTAGCGCAAGAAGGCTGAAGGCCTAGAAGAGCCGAGAGGTGCCACAGTTGAGAGACACAGCTGAAACGCCGATGCACATGCTGATCTTCAACAAGTTTTGTTGACCTGACTCCTCGCCATCTGCTCCGAGCCCCGTCCTTCTGCAGCTGAGCCACTGTCTGAAGGGCGCTCACATCTGGCGAGCCCTGGGAGTCGGCCTGACCGTGCGCAGCGACTCCGACTTAGGGGCTTCGCTTCTTTCAGCTGCACTTGGTGAATTTCTTGCTTCTCCTGGACGCACAATGTGGGAAGCGGGGTGGGTTTAGGGTTAGGAGTTGCAGCGACTCTGGCAGACCAGTACCTAGCTCGTCCGACAGCCTTCGCTTTCTCGAGCTCTTGGTTGAGCGCGAGCACCTGCATTCCAAGGCTCAGTAAAAAAGCTTCAGTCAGACGTGATTCTGCTACCGTGTCAAGCCCAAGTCGTCGTGGACCCGTGGAAGGACAAACCGCGGCCTTCGCGTTGCAATCATCTTTCAGCTTTTGGAACGTCTCCCGCGTCCTCTCCTGGATCCGCCGTGAAAGCGACGGCCCCCCGAAAGGGGCTTGCAGGCGGGGGCCTTGAGCCTCTGCTGCTCTGCGAGGCGCTTGTCCTGCTCCTGCTTCAGCGCGGCCTTTGCAGCACGACCCAGAAACGAAACAAGACAGGTTCGACTGCTTCTGTTGCAAGTCGACGGCAAGCCTGTATGTCAAAGTCTTGATACATCGCTTCATGCGTTCTACGATGTTCTGTGAAGGCCATGGATGCTCCGTTTCGTCGCAGCGACGAGCATCATCTGTTAATGCTTTGCTGCATGGACGGGTCAGCGCGAAGCACAATTCTTTAGAGCCGATAGCAGATAGATACGCTCGCACTCCGCGACAGAGATCTCGCCACCGCCCGATTGTCATTCACACCCTCGCACACTCGCACTCCGCGAAAGAGATGCTGCCGCCGTTGGAGTGGATCCCGATCCACCCGCGCATGCTTGGGTGGCCCCACCCGAGTCAGAAACCCTCGGTCGGGGCTTCTGCGCAGTGTTGGGTTATGAAAGGCAGTCGAACATGACATAACATGACCAAAAAAAGCATAAGGAAGGGGATGATCGAAGAGCTGCGCTCGACTCCCTGCTATTTTAAGTGCTCACAAGCCTACAAACACCCCTGTAAAATGAATCTCCATCTCCTCTCTTGGCCGGAGCTGTCCGAAGGAGAGCTGGCGCTTGTGTCTCCGAAGGAGGGCGCGGCGCGCACCACACGCACCACAGCTAGGCCCCCGTCCTCCAGCTTCTCCTTCTCATCCTTCAGAGAATCGAAGTCCTCCTGAAGGCGAAGGGCCGAAGTCACCGCGGAGCGCCCGTTCTCAGCCCGTGCAAGGAAGCTGAGGGGGGGAGAGTCGCAGAACTTAGCAGGAAATGCCTGCAGAAGTGCCAGTCCCCGCCGGCACTGTTCCTACATACGTGTTCAGTCTCTTCAACTGCTGCTAGGTGGTAGTTGGGTCTAAGCATCCTGCACAGCAAAGGCCAGGACACTGGACAACAAAGGTACCGTATTGTACAACTCAAGCACTGCAAATCACTGCATCTCCCATAAACGAAGAGTGCAAGGGCACGGCCATTGTCCGTGATTAAGAGATATGCTACAGCCTGCATCACATGCACTGTGTTTTAAAGGGATCGGGGCGAGGGACATGAGAACACGCTTTCAGGGTTCGGGGACAGGCAAGGGCTTGGTACAGTAGCCATCAGTGTTTTAGAGTTGGAGGATGAAAGCAAACAGTCCTGCGAGGGTGCCATGGGGCTTCCATTCACAAAGCTCAGGTGATGTAAGCAATGCCCGTCTAGACATCTCAATGCAAATCAACTTCTCCAGCTGTGAACCATCCCTATAAGTGCATGGCACCTCGTCTGCAGAATCTGGACGACTAAGACCAGTGCTGAAAGTCATGCAAGTAACTAAGTAGATGGCTCTTAAGTCTTAGATGGCTCTGGGGGGCTTGCCCCACTGAGGCAAAAGAGCGAACGTTCGCGAGGCACGCAAGACACTTGAACTGAACTGTGTGGCACGACTGAAGCTAAAGCTCGCGGCGCTCAGTTGCACACCGTTTTGGCTTGACTTCGATATGCCCCTCACCTATCCACATGACCTAAGAAGAAAACAGGGGGCAACCACAGAAGCAGCAGCAATTCCAGAAGGGATGAACAGCAGCATCCTGCATAGCAAGGCATGAGTCTATTGATCTCGCTGGATGTCACTAGTTCATCCCGACACGAAACCTTACAAAAACTTGAAGCCCGCAGCTTCCCGCAGGCTGGCACGTAAGGTGGACCTACACATGGGGAGCAAGTGTGACATTCTGAGACGCCGCATCCGTGCACAATCCGATGCATGGCCTGAGCTTCTACAAGCACCACCGCTACAGTTGCGTATCAGCAATGGCACATAAATGCTCTCCTACATAAACGAAATACGGCCCGGCAATCACTGCCAGGTCGCACATCCAGGCATCAGCGAAGCACTGGGACAATAAAACAAAGCGCGGGGTCGTTTCAGCGACCGCGCTGAGGTCTGAGAGCTCTCCTGGACTGTACGGATCTGTACGTATCTGTGCGGAGCTTACAGAAGTGAGGGGATTTCATATACAGCTCGCCTCATCCGACCTGCCGACCAACCTCCTGGAGGCGGATGAAAGCCTGTGGAGCAGACCAGAACCGTTTACCCTAAGCAGCCTGACCTCTAACCCCTAAACCCTAGCGAACAAAAAACAGATGCAACTCACGTGGCATGAGCCGGTCTTGCGGCAGGATCACGGGTTGTTATTTCAAGCACAGTCATGCCTATCACGGGATTTCTTCAAGGATAATGATGCTTATGCTGAGATGCCAGGCATTCGGAGGCATTCCGGTGTCATTCCGATGGCTCGCCAAGTGCCCGGCGGTCTTCCCCTTCTTGTAGGAATCGAGGACCTGGCAAGTGCAGTTTGGAGTTTGCGACTCCAAGCCGATCTTGTCAACCGGCCTTGAGCTGGGTGCCGGGAAGCAAGATGCTCTCTGCTTCGTTGGAGTAGAAGCTCAACTGGGCGTAGCATGGCGTAGCTATCATCCCCACTTGAATCAAGCTGCCGTGGGCAAGGCCAGCCTCGGAAATTTCACAAGCCGTCTGCGTCTCAACTGTTAGGAGCGTTGACCTGATCTGCAGGATGCAAAGGGTGGTTCCCACTCTGCCAACTTTGCGCGACTGTCATCGTCTCCACGTTAAAGCTACATTGCCTGCGGGCAGTCGCGAGGAAAAGCTGTGGAGTCTGAGAAACTAACGGTCCTGCGCAGCCGCTGGCAAAGTTCTTTGCGACCTTGCTTCTCAAGGATGCAAGCTTCGCTTGCACAAGACTGCTAGAGGGGCTTCCTGAATGCTGATCATGTTGCAGCAGTCAGTCATTGTCCGACATGCCTTAGAAATAGATTCCCACGTGCACGTGCCTTCTCGTCCGAGGTACAGCTTGAAACACCCCACCATGTGATGGTGCTGCCAACCTACCACTCAAGCCAGCATACGCGCAGAAAGTGCAGGAAGAAACCGTCGGAGGCCCTGCAGCCTGTCAGCATCGCAGCGAAAGGTGCGAGCCTTGTACTGATCAAAGAGGTCGACTCCAACTCCGCGCCAGAGAGTAACTTTCCGAATTGGGAGCCTCGCGGAGCCAAAAACTCAGCTTCCACTTAAAAGCCCTCGCGTGCGCAGCGTGCCGGACATGCCGGACCCTGCCTGCCACAGGCCTCGAAAAGCATGCGCAGGTACGGGAAGTAGGAGCCGACCTGGAAGAAGGGATTCAGGTTTACTGACACCAGGTGTCTGCGTCCTAGGTGTACATGGCCCTGGCATGCCCTGGCCTTGTCTCGATCTTCGTCGCGCAGGGCCTGGCCAGGAAGAATTCAGCACTCTTTCTAGAGACGGTATCCTCTGGTGTCTGCAGTCCGAAGGCTTGTGCACAGCGCGCCTTGTTTAGAGCCTGGTAAATGGCATTGCCGGTGTACATCCTTAGACATGCTTCTCACTGCCGCTGACATCAGAAGTCGCGGCCATTGCCACCCTTCCATCACGCAACCGCGTATGCCAATAAGTTGTTGATGGGCAACTACACACACTGGCTAAGCAACTGGGCCGCGGGCAGAATGGCTCCATACAGTTCAGCGTCCATTGGCTTCAGTGGCTTGCCAGCTTTCTTCTTCTGCGCAAAAGCGACACGAAGGCCGGACAAAGCCAAGGCGGTGTCTGAACTGCCTTAACGAAGCCTACGGGTACCGTGCCTGTCCTCTCACTTGCCAGAGGTCCGGCCTCCAGAGCCTTGCCCTTCTTGGTGCAGCTATCCACATCCTCCCATGCTGTGCCAACATCGCAGTTGTGTAGCACGGGTAACCCAAGTTGCTGGCCTTCTTGGCACAAATGCCCTTGCAGCCCTCTTGCAGCGTGCCCGGCAGCTCAAGTTGCATGACTCCGGAGATCGGTGTGAGTTTCTCCTGAATGTCAGGCAACCTCGTCGCATGGAAAGCCGTGATTGAACTCAGCAAAAAGCCTCGTCTTCTCCTCCGCCGATCTCCTCGAAACCCATGCCTTGCGTGGCATTTCGGTGCGTCCGAAAGCTACACTTCGTGATTTATGCCTATGCTGGACGTTTAAGGGAAAGACGCAAGTAGAACTGGAGGAGGGCACGTTCAGCTCCCAGGAGGTCCTAGCAGGTCAAGCTAGCCGATGATGCAGCATCACAAGCAAACAATCAAGTCTAGGCTCCTGTGTGTCGATTGGCGGAGGTGCCTTGATGCCGAAGTTGTGCGGAATGAGGGCATAGAACCTACCGTGGGGCTCACCACCAGATGAATGGTCGCATCCAGGCAGGAAGACTCCATAAATTCTCTAAGCCCCCAGCTCGGCGGATTCAGCCTTGACCTTCCCCCTCTGGACCGGGCTCAGTGGGGCTCCTGACATGGGCATCACCGAGGCTTGAGCTGCTCTGGAAGAGACTAAGCTCGGCTTCTTCTTTGCGCGGTGTATGGCCATGTCGTGCCATGTTGGGACTACAGCGTCGGGTGTTTAAGGTTTGGGATGCATTCGGCCGGGTTGCTCCATGCTCACAAATATTCATCAGGACGACAAGGACCTAGATCAACATCGCCTTGATTCCTTGGCAATGTCGACACAATACCACCCAAGCTATGAAACCAGTGACCAAGCATCCGCCCTGCGAGTATCTGCCGCAGGATGGGACAGTTAAACCTCTAATATTCCCAATATCCTCTCAGAAGTGGTCTTCAAGCTGCGTGCACAGATCGTGCTGAGGTTGACATGGCTGCTCCGAGCTTTGCTATTTGCACGGGTGTTGCTAGGGTTTGGGCACGTAAAGGCCGCGTGCAACCCGTCTCTATTCATGTTTCGGCTGCGTCCACGTATGCAGGCTAGGCTTCATTTGACACTGGTAGCTCTAACGGCGTGTTGAGGCCACATTTTTTTGACAACATACTGCAACATGTAACACTCCTCAAGTCGGGCACGAAAGACAGAACCGGCCACACCACAGGCACCGAAGTTCAAACCGATCTCACGAGAACACCTGACAAAACCGTGGGTTGAGGGCAGGGAAAGGCAAGATCCCAGAGGAACCTTCCGCAACCTCGGATAGAATGGACTCGATCTTGTCCTCGGGCCACTGGGTACACTTAGACAAGTGAACGTGGAGATCCTGCGGCGAGAAAAACTGATGTCGCAGTGACGATCTGTTCCCACAGCGCGCTCTCACAGACTCACAGCCCGCGGCAAGGACAGCGTTTCCCTTCTCGACGGCTGCCTGGCGAAGCAGAGAGGAAGAGAAGGGCCTGCCATGGCCTGCCACTGCCCACATCACTGACGATTCCGGGACAGGGGGAGACAGTCTGCGTTTGGAACTGCAAGGCCTTGGACAGCTGACCCAAAGGCTGGCCGTCCTCAGAACAGCTGGCTGCAAGTTGGCTGCGGAAAGTTGGACGTTTTGTAAGCAGTTGAGCTAGTCTACAGACGCAGTTCTTGGCTCTTGGTCAGGTTTGAACCGGGGTTTGCAACAGCAACCGCACTTGTCAGTAGCAGTCCCATCCTGAACTTCGTCTTGTGACGGCTCGGGCTCCTCGTCACATCCCGTCGCGCATCTCATTTGGCGACAAGCATCGCATCTTCGCGAGTCCTCTTCGTCGGTCTTCGCCTTCTTCTTCTGCAAGGCCTAGTGAGGAACAGGGCCCAAAAGGGCCCAGGGCCGACACGAGGCCCAAAGGCTCCGCCGGCTCGGCCTTGTGTGCCACATCGACGCGGCTAAACTTTCCGGGCTTCTGCCTCGGTCCATACTTTACAGCACATCTGTCACGGGACATGCAGGAACTGCTAGGAAGGAGAGATCGCACAGCCAGGCCACACAAACTCCGACGGCTTGTGGCCGTAGGTGTTTCCAGTTTTTTCCTGTGCACGCTGCACTGAAGCAGAAGCGCTGTGGAAAGCCACATCAGCTCCCATTTTTGTGCCGAAGGAAGGTTGCTAAGTACCACTCGAGATAGAGCTTGCTGAACTGCCGGATGGCTGCTGCTTGGTCAGAATGGAACCTCTAGGCAAACCGACAAGACAGACGGCTTGGAGCACCGAAGGATCGCTGGGGCACAAGCTCCTCAAGCTTCGTGCCACCCTGGCTGACACCTGTGTGGAAGTTGCTTCTAGTTGTACTTGACAGCCGAGATCCTGTCAAGTGTGGACAGGTCCGGCCTATGCGACCCCACTTCCTCCACACCCAGTAGCAGCTGCCGCCCGAGTCCTTTTACTGAGTGGCCACGACTGCTACGACCAAAGCAACTGCAGCTCCGCTCCTTGTCAGACTCCAGCACATAAAGCCTGGGGCGATTCGCTGGCTCAAAAACATAGGATCTGGCAAATTTACCACCCCTAAGCTAGGGAAGCACGGCCTGCCCTGTGTTTATCACGACGGCTAGTTCTTAAGGAAACGGGAATACTTTGATAGGCCATGCCAGAGCACAGTCTTTGCACCAAGAAGAGGAAAAGCCGCAGCTGTGGCTCCGCACTTGTAGAAGGAATTGGAGCCCGAGGTCATGTCCGTGAGGCTCAAGGTCTCGCTGTACACGCGGTTCTTCGGCCTGACGCGGAGAGCTTCTCTCTGGTCTCAAAGCAGGCCTTCTACTTGTTAAGTGCCTGTCGATCAGCACATGAGTTCGATCGATCAGCTCTCCAATGTCTGTGTCCATTGCAACGCCTTCCTTTTCAACCTGAGTGCATGCATGTCGGCAAACCACGGCAAGCTCGACATCTCGCATGCGGAACATCAGCAAGGAACGAGGAAGTCAAAGAGCAGATTACGAGCCGAATGTCAATCTTGGGCTCAAACAGTCTTGGCCGTGCCCGTTTCTGCGATGGCTCTGAACCTATGGCGACCGGCATGCAGTGCCCAACATTGTACTTAGACCTTGCATTCAACGAAGTGCTACGCACACACCAAGTTCCACGCATGCGGGGTGCTTCACCCCAGAGTAGATGCCTGAAATGGCAATTGCATCTTTTGCACCAGCTGCTGACGCCGACTAATTGCTCGTGCATCATCAAAGTGATCTGTCAAGCAGACACGCCCACCGAAAGAGTGCCGGCTTTATAAAGTCGTGGCAGGTCCACGCAGTCATGTCGGTGGTGGTGCCGGCCTGCAAGCTGAGTCACTGGAGTTGCTGACTGGCATTCGATGGCATGAGAGAGGCTTCGCATCCAAAGGTGACTAAAGCAATATCTCACCTTCAGGTTGTCAAGGAAGCTCTTCTCGACCCCAGGGACACCGTCACTCTTGGCTGCCTTCACAAGCTTTGGCTCGGACCAGCGCTGCCCCACTGCACAGTCAAGAAAGCACCCTTCGGTTGCGGGCTCTTTTCGCCGTAAATTCCTTAAAGAGATCGGCACATGCAGCATATGGTAAGCTCCCGAAGAGACAGACATCCCGAAGATGAAACTACTAGTGCATGCCTGCGTCGACTCCGTACCTGCTTCCACTACAACTCCGATCACGACTAATTACTAGTCACCACCAACACCCTTGCCAAAGACCCCAAGAGCCTCGGACGCATGTGCGGCTACTGTGTCCACTGACCACCACCACCCGCCGCTCTGCTTGCTGCTTTTACTTTTTGTCACGACAACCGCTACAGTACCAGGTGCCGCGAGCTCGCATGCATTAGGCATGGGGCGAGGATGATGGGACGGTGGCGACCACCTTGCTCGCTGGAAGCTACGGCCAAAACCGGCAACAACTCGTTCCTGCTTCGTGCCTCCTTTTCCTCGGTGTCCGATTGAATAAGCTCAGGGGAGGACACGACGAAGCACGTTGCCTCTGAAAGTGCTGGTTCTCCCATCTTCATGACCAGACTTTCCGGGGCGGCCTTCGTAATGGTCGTGCAGATCTTGCCCATGTGGGACTTCACCAGCCCCTTGCTTGTCCCGGACGTGGAAGGGGGTGAAAACGAGGCTTCGACACTCTTTGCAGCCCGGTTTCTTCAATCTCCTTCCTCTCGTCAGCTGAGAAGTCCTTCCAGATGCACTTGGGATGTCTTGGCATCTCTCCCTGAACCATGGCCTTGGACACGTAGACGCTCAAGTTCAGCAGGGGCGGCCTTGCTTGCGAGCTGGAGCTTGACCTGACAACTTCACAGTCGTCTGGAGTCGGTTGCCAGTCGGAACATGCAAAAATCAGCGGATCTCGAAACTCGAGGCGCCCGTTGCATGCCCCAGTTGCTGGGAGGGCATTGTGCCATCCGCGGACATCTTCGTGGCGAAGAGTCGAGTCCCCACCTGTGCAGCGGCCAGGGCAAAGAAGGCCACGTTGCAGGTCACTGGCTTCCCCGGTCCCGCCTTCAGCTGCAGCTTGCCCAGCTTGCCGTCAGCTGCCCTGGGAAAGGGGGTCTAAGGACAGGAGCGATAAGAAATCCCGGGACGCATACATCCCGCATGCTTCAGCTTTAAATTTCTATACAGGACCTTCAATGTGACTACGCAAATGGCACCGCAAAAGCAGCATGGCTGTGCATGGCCCAGATGGCCAGGATGCTGTTTGGCCGCCGGGGTTAGCTGCCACACGTCGCGCTCCGGCTTTTGGGTCCTTGGAGGGTCTCGAGATGTCTTGAGTAGGTGGCCACAGTTAAAGAGGCCACCAGTCGGCTCATCCAAGCTTCTGGAAATCACATTTCAGGTGGTCTGTCATCCATCCGGTGCCTCATTGTCCATCAACTGCCTCGCCCTCTGAATTCGAAACTTGCACGACACTTTCATGCGCCACGGTTTGAAGTTTGATTGTCCAAATGGCATTTGTACACCTCTCCATCCAGGAGGATGGTACCGGCCCTTCCGTGATCCTGCCGCGTTGCAAGATCTCTCACGCAGTTTCGCAAAGGATATCTGCACTAATCCGTTGCCTTGCTTCAAGGCCCTACTCAAAGCATACTGGCTGTCCGAGTCCTTGCAGACCTCGCAAGGCTGCGTCGCACCAAATAAGATGCCATCTGCGCACAGCTGCGCCAAGGTGCCTCATCTGTCGTGAAAGAATACATTGAATACATCAAGACCTGATAGTTCTGACTTGCCCTTCTTGCACAACATCGCAGCACATGCCCTCACACGATAAGTCGCCGTTATCGGACACACCCATGAAGACGGTTGTCGTGCGTCTACTCCAAACTTAGGTTCCTGCCCCTATCATTCAAAGCTAGGGCTGGACCGAAGTGGCAACATCATGGGCTCTTGCATACAAGCTGCTAGAAACATGCAGCTTCTTCTCAGGGTAGCTGTTCAAAGCCTCTGAGCTACATGTGTCTGCTGTCTGCGAGGCATCAAACGTGAAAGAAAGCGGTACGCGCTGGAAGACAAATCTGAGCATCTCGCTGCCATCTCGGCGAGCTGCTTCGGCTGCATCCTGAGCGATGGATCCGTATGCATCCCACGTGATCTTTGCACCTTCTCTTCTTCCGTTATCGTTGGTCCGTTCTGATTCTTGTACGGCCACGGTGGTGCGCATAATCGCATCTTAATCAAGGCCTGGTGAACCATGACTTGGCGCTTGGCTGATTCAACACGTCCAAGACCTCGTGCAGTTTTTTGCCCTGCGTGGCCCTGAGAATGCAAAGTCTGCCGGGCAGATGGAAGACCAGCGCGCTTCGCAAAATCTTGCGGACGGGCGACAGCTTTGAATCACTGGCTCCGGCGCCCTCCCCTTTGGGGATGATCTTCGTGATGGCCTTTTGTCGAGAAGGTGCATGATGACGTTGGAAAAACTACAGAACTGCAAATGGATGCGAGAGCTCAGCAGGTCCTTCTGGTCAGCGGGCTTCAGACTCGAAAACCCCGAGACTATGTTCACCGAGCTTGGCAGGATGTTCCCCGACCTGGCATTCATCTGCTCTCCGCTGCCCAAGGCCTAGGGCCTAGAGATGTAAAGCAAAAAAAGGGTGTCAAGAACCACCACAGATGTCCCTCGACCAAGGCACAATAGGGCAGCGGCATGGTACCATATGGTCATGTTGCCATCGAATGAGTCGGACTTTACCGTTTTGCCAAACCTGTGGGAAAGCAACCCTTTGCTGCCCATCGAGTAGTTTGTTTTGCAAGCTAAATCCGCTCCATACCCTGACCACATTCCTGGCCTGAGAACCCCGGCTGGAATCTTTTCCTGGGTCGCGACTCTGTCAAGCGTCAGAAGAGTCGCGAAGGCTTCCTAGAGCTTGCCGATGCAGTGCTCCTGGGAGATTCTGCACGTTGAGCGGCCAGACTTTGCGTACTCCACACCTTCCAACCAGCCCATCATGCAGAGATTCAGTTCATCATCACCGCCGCTTACGGTAGCCCCTGGATAGTCCAAGGGCTCTGCTCCACTCACCGTCTTCGTAGAAGATGTCACCATCTGCAGGCGTGATGTCCTTGCAGCGGGCTTCGATTGCTGCCTTGTCCTGAATGGACTGCTGCATGGGGTGCCGTCTTTGTTCAGGACGCGGCATCCAGACTAGTGGGCAAGGTGGACGCCTCTTCTTGGCTGGCCTTCTGGCTAGCCTTTGGAACGCGCTCTACGATGGTCAAGTCATTGCTTTCCCTATGCACTTCTGAGCACTGTCAAAGCCTGCTGAACTCAATAGATGTAATAGAGTCCGTGTTCGTGTTCATGAGACTGAAGCTCTACGCCGCCCGCCTTAGCCTTTGCCTTAGCTTTTGCTTTGCTCGCCGGCTCCTGCAAAGAATTCCGCGTTCAACAGCGCCAGCCTTCGAGTCCGGAAGCCGAAGTCCTCATCTTTGGAGGCGCGGCCTTTTGCTTTGGCTTTCGGGCTCGGAGCCGGAGGCTCCTCCTCCTCCTCCTCCTTCGACGGCTGACTCGAATAGGATTTCAAACCTATGGTAGTGGTAGCGACAGCAGCAGCGGCAGCGGCAGCCACAGCAGTATTGGTGGTGGTGGTGGTAGTAGTAGTAGTAGTAGTCGTGGTGGTGGTCGTGGTGGTGGTGGTGGTGGTGGTGGTGGTGGTAGTAGTGGTAGTAGTGTTCTTACGGGGCTATTGGGGAACCTAGGATACGAA